CCAGACTTTTTATACATCTAAGATGTGGACTACACGGGCTCCATAATCTCGGTCATGAGTGAGGTGTCAATTTAAACGTGAGGGCAGGAAATAGGCTAAAGCGCGCTCCATATCGTGCGTAAGAGGGAAGTAAGCCTACTTTCAGCGTTTGTTAAAAGTTGTCCGTGGGCCTGCGAGAACCGCTCGGCGCTTAAAGTTCATCTCTCCTCGGCTGAAACGACGCCATCTGTCCAGTTTTTGTGCGACAACGTCAGCGTTAAACTGAGTGATGGAGGCAGGAAATGTTGAGTAGGATTTTCGGACTGGCGGAGGACTTATGAGACAGAGGAGGAAGAAGCGAGACCGACCTTAGTGTCTTTTCAATGTTTTGAAATCGATATTTAACTTAAGGTAAGTGTCATTGTTGTTGTTTTTTTTATGGTACGGATATCTGTTTGTTTAAAAGCTGGATTTTCCGCTGCTGAGGCCTCTTCAGAGAACCGTGCATAATAAATGTGTGTGTATCTGTCATGTTTGGGTTACAGACACACACAGACAAACACACTCACACATACAAAAACCAGGCTGTTGCAGGATGTATGTGGGCCATAAAGCCTGACATCTACTACAGTTCTGAAAACCTGAAACATGATTGTGTCCAGTTTGTTTACTTTACACCAGCTAAAAAGAGGCTCCAACGGTGCTTTTAAATATCACCGTCATGTTGCCTATTTCACGAAGTGTGGAAAGGAATTATGCAACGATCAAGGCAGCAAGCAGTCACTCCCTCCATGCGCTGCCTCAGTGAACACATTTGTTTAATCGTCTGCTGTGCTGTTCCTAGAAATCATGGACGCCTTAATGCTGTTTGTGTCGTTATTGCCAATATTGAGGGAATGTATTAGATCTGATCATTGTTAGAAACACTCATATCACATCATAGTATTAGCTCCTCAAATAGCATGTCATGAGTATAATATCTAAGGCAAACACTGAAGCAGCTGCTTGCACTTCACTTCCTATTTTTTCATCCAGTACACTGTGATTATTGGTAAGGTATAGCTACACTGAACTCCAATGTGAAGGTGAAACTTTTATGGGGCGGTGATTATTTTGTCGATAGGATCCGTCTTTCATGCACAGGTAAGCTGTTCTTCCACTAACACCTGACGAAAGGCAAGTTGGGGCAGCTTTCCGCTGTGTGTGTGCATGTCTGTAAGTTTCGTTCCACATAATCCACTTTTCAAAGAGCCATCTGAGAAACCGTCAGAAACATGTGCAACTCGCCCTGGCCACCAGAGGCAGTGGCTAACAATGGATAGCAATTACCAACAAGGTGAGGCGAATCGTGATCCACCTCAGTGAAAACAGCAGCTGCTTACACAGCACCTGAGTTTAAATGTTGACTTAACAAAACCTAAAAAAAACAAAAGCAAGAGGGACAGTGGAGAGCTCCTGAGAGACAGATGAGCAGAATCTGCGATGAAAATCATACACGTGACAAAATTCTTTGCTGACAGCTTCCTGTACATATAATACCACACAGCTGGTTTCCATAGTGGACTCAGTGGCCCTTGAAAGATCCATTCTCTGCCCTCTCCACTACTGTGCTGTCCCTTCCACACATGATGAAAGAGAGAGGGGGAAGTCTCTCACTTTCTTAAATCAGATCAAGTATTTATTGGTATGAATGCTGAGCCTACAAATGGCAGATGCTGGAATTCAATGATGAAATATAAACATATAAAATGTAACCTGAGAGCCACATTTAAAAAAGAAAACAAGGACTCTATAAGGACTCTCATCAAGGTTTTTTGGGAGAGTTCCATATTTGACCTGAGCAAGTACGACAACACAAGACATAGCAACTTTACTTACTAATCCAGCAGAAAGAAAACCAGCTCAGCGTCTGTCTTGCAGCCTTTTATTTCACGAAGCTCTCGCCAACGTCGGGGAGCCTCTTGCTTGGTTCCTCTTCTTAGCTTCCTTCGTCAACATCCTCTTTGGTCTCCATGCCCAAGTCGTTAACTAACGTTTCATCCACATTATAGTCTGATGTCTGTGAAACTTCTGGCTGACTTTGCTCGAGTCGACAACTTTGCTAACACATGCAAACATCAAGCAAGCGCAACAACACAAGACATGGCAAGCCAGCTCATAAGTTATAACTTACTAGTCCAACAGCAAGAAGACCAGCTCAGCTTCTGTATTGCATCCTTTCATCTCTTTAGCTCACGCCAGCGAGTAAAAGCCAGTCCGATATTTACCCTTGTACGGTCTCCTGCTCGGTCACTCTCGCTTTTTCTCTTCCTAGCTTCATCCATCAATGTCTTCTTTGGTCTCTTCGCAGCCTGCCGTGATATCCATACTGAGAATAACGAGCTAGCTTTTTCCAAAGAACGTACATGATATACTTTTTGCTTCTTCTCATAGCTAGCTTGCTGAAGAGTTGTGTTGGTCTGTGACGTGGCGCTGTAAAGCATTACTCTGTTCTTGTGATAGATTTCCCGCCTGCTGTGACAGCTTCAAAATGATTTTGAAGCTGTCACAGCAGTAATTTTAAGATACAATTTCTACATAATGTTGCAGTTTAAGAGACGTCTAAGTTTAGGATTTCAACTGAGTGTTTTTCCCAATCCAAAAATCTATATAACAGATGATCTCAATAATCGAGTTAGGTCTGCACCTCACAACTATTTTCATCAATGAGTAATCTGACTTTGTTGGGTTGTTTTTTTGGTATTAATCTATTAATCCCTTGGTCTGTAATTAATCAATTATCAAAATTGTTGCACACTAATTTTCTGTTGATTGGGTAATTGATTTGAAGAGTTTTTACCCATCCATCCATCCATCGTCAACTGCTTGTCCTGCGTACAGGGTCACGCGAAAATTTTTACTTTGAATTAAATAATTTATTACATACGTTTGGACTGTTAGTTGTAGAAACCAAATCTCCAAATAACGTCGCCTTTTTGCACTTGGATATTGTGATTGGCTTTTCCCCCCCTGATATTCATAGAATAAACTATTGATTGACAGGAGAGAAACTTGTTGTTTTTCCTTTATTACTGTAGTAATTTCATAGGACTTTCTGGTTTATAAAACAAACATATTTTGCTTTATGAGTTTAGAATTCAAAATAATTGATCAACAATTGTCATTCCCCCACACTGATTTCTGAGAATGCCAGTGGAAAATTATCAGTACTGGTTTGACTTCTCATTATGCAGTGACATTAGCTACACTTGTTGACATAAATTTCCATACCTTAACAGATATTATATGTAATCATGTTTTTATCCCCACTCTAATCTTGAACCAGAAATGTAGCTGTTCCTTCCCACTTTATTTTTATGTTTTACGAATGCATAAAATTCGTATGTTCTAAAAGCCTGCTGAAGGAAGAATGACTTGTTTAAGCCACTTTCTAGTAATTCCCTTTCTGCCATTTTGAGTTGAAGTTGGAGAAATCAATTAATTTCAGAAGCATTTTTGTTATGTTTGTTGAAATTTGGTATCTGTAGCTGTCACAGGACTGTTATAAGCACCAATTATTTAATTCAACCCAAATAAAATGATTGGCTGGCCTGCCTGTCTACCTGTGTGCACTCTGCCTGTGCACATAAAGATGAGTTTTAGGGGAGTTGCTTTAGATGGACAGTTTTCTTAGTTAACTGTAGAAACAGACAGGACACATGGGGAGGAGAGGGCTGACGCCACCTGATTTGAACTGGAGTTGTTATGTGGTCTACGTGGGTATGTGTGGCCTGACAGTAGAGAAGGAGGCAGTTTGCATGGCTTGTAATGCCTGGATGATTTCCACCAGGGATGTTGCTGGCAGGAGAAAATGGCTCCCAGGCTTTGCTATACACAAGGGAGATGTATTTATGTCCTTGACTTACAAGACAAAAAAAGGCCTCAGCTAAAGGGGAAGAAGCTTTGTGCACCACAGAGACTCGATTGATCTGGTTAGATTGAACATATCTGAGGCGTTGTCTCAATATATATAAGAATATCCTAAAATCTTTAAAATGAATGAAATAGTGGTGCTTCATCTGGGAAATGTCTTGCAAAAGGCTGACGCTGTACTGATGCTGCCTGATCCTACCGACATGGTAGAAACAGAAGTCAAAATTTAGTCATGTTGACAAAGTCAGTGTAGTATTGCAGTCTGACACATGACAGTCCCCTGATAATTTATGTTCGGGTCGTGGTGCTTTGATAAGAGATAACAAGGTAGTTGTTGTTTGAATAAACATAAATATAACTCAATATAGGAGTATATTAACAATTGAGGCCTCCATGAAGATACTAGTACCATTGATTGACTTATTCATTAGTTCACAGGGCAGTGTAACCACCAAGGCAGGCTTGAAAATAAAAGCTACTGATGTTGTAATCTGCTGAGCGTTTTGCTGAGGAAGTGGTTAAACATACTACAATGAGTTTTTAACTGGTTAGGGAGGGCATATTGTTAATAAGACACAACATTAGGGAGTATTGATAACTTTAGCGACCTGGTACGCAGGATAAGCGGTTGACGATGGATGGATAACTTTAGCTTAGTTGTAGGCTTACATGTAACCTAGTTGTATTGGTACTCAAACAATGTTTACGTAATTTCAACACTATCATGTAACAGTTATTAATCTCACATAGCCACATCTCTATGCAAGCAGAAATGTTACTAAAAATAATTTGCATCTTTCTTTCACAACAAATGCACATGCTAGCCAGATAGAAGATCTTAACAACACAATGGTGGTGGAAACATGCTTTTGTCCACAAGGGCCGTCTTAATGTGCACAAATGTTTGGCTGTAAGATTGCAGAATGCTTGAAACTCACACTGGGTAGTCGACCAACATTAAAGGAATATTCAACACAATGTGACTAAGCAACCAACGTAGCAAGTATAGCTATCTAAGCATTGGCTAAAGAGCAGAGAGCTCCAGTGCTGCTTTGCCAGATAGATTGAGTAAACCCAAATGCAGTACACAGCACACCGAGACTGGGAACTAGAGCAGTGAAGGATTTATATTTACACATTACTTAAGAATGAATGAGGAGCCTATGGATCAGGGGAGCTTCGGGGGTTGAGACATGAGCCAGAGGAGTGAGCTGAGCAAGGCAGGGAAGCAGGCAGACAAATCAGGCAGAGGGGGTCCAGACATCCAGGGAAAGGTAAGTTGACGGCAAAAAGGACAGAGGCAGGAGTCCAGGGTCCAGATGGGTAGAACTGCTAGGCACAAGAAACAGGTATTAGCCAACTTAAAAACACACAAGACAGCATACACAAGGCTGGCGCAAGACTAACTAACTAAATATATATAATACAAATATAGGGCTGGGGGTAAGATTTGAACTTGAGCCGCTGCAGCAGGAACTCAGCCTGTGTACGTGGGAAGTGGGCTTAAGACTAGTGGTGAGTTAACTGGCGCCCCTGGTCAGCTAACTATGTAGCTGAGTCAAAGATCTGGTGGCATGGTAGAGTCCAAGCCCACTATATAAAGCAGAGTAGACTGCAGATGATTAGACCCGACACCCACACACCAGATCCCACTCCTGTAATCAAGAGTACAGACAGTGAGAATGAGGGAGAGAGAGAGAGAGAGAGAGACTCCAAACTAGGAGAAAGCAGAGGACATAACAAGTGCTCTAAGCTTGGTAATTAACTGTTATTATGTAAAGGTATGGCCAAAACAGACCAGAAAAATCCAATTATGCCAATGTGAAGCTGCCAAGCTTTGTGCTTGTAAAGCAGGTTAGCAGGAAGAGGATGGCAGGGATCATATTGCTCTTATTCTTTTTAGTACAGAATGCACGTTGTTAATGTTGTTTTGACTCCAGCCCAGGCAAGACAAGTGAAAGACAATTAGATGATGCAGTTGCAACATGTCTATATTCCTGGTCTTTTTCCTCACCCTGTAGTTGTTCACTGTTGAAGCCTCTGCGACTCACTCCACATGGCCAGTTAAAACTTAGCTCTCTCCTTCCAAGTTCTGTTGAGCGGTGTGTTCTCCAGAGTTTTAATTTTGTATTCTATCAATAAAGAGTAAACACACAGTGAGTAAACTGCAATGAAGCAAATCCATCAAATAGCAGCAAAGTGGAAGAGCATGCAATCTAGTTTTAATGTTAACTTGTTGACAAATATCTGTAGGAATACAGATATTTAAACATATTAAACATAGCATGAGTTCAGGCACAGGGGTGAAATTGTGCGGCTTACGTTTTTTTGTACAGATTAAACAAAAGAGATATAACATTTTAATTAGTGAGCAGGATTTTTTTACCTTTGGAGAGGGCCTGTCCAGCTTTTTGTTTAAAGACGAGTGGCATCAATCTTCTCATCTAACTCTCAGCAAGAAAGCGAATAACTTTTCCAACATGTTAAACTATTCCTTCGTTCTCCCAGCAGTTTTCCCATTACTGCTCAATTTGTTTTAAAGAGAGTTCAAAGAGCAAAGCATTTCCCACCAAATCTGAACTGTATAACCGTTTACTTTAAGTGGTCAATTCATGGAGAAGTATTCAGACAGAAATGGCTGTTGCACATTCTAAGTTGGTGGTTTATTTGTTATGTATGAAGTACAGACATAGTTGTTATTCTTTGTTTGTTTGCGGTAGCTAGGTGACAGCCTTCAACTTGGATGACAATAATTGCTGGATTCACACATGGCTTGTTCAGTCCAAAACATTTCCCCCTTCCTTCAGAATGACACAGCAGTTAAAAAATGTTGCGCAATTATGCATACTAGACATCAAGACATGGATTTTTGTTTTTTTTATCTCATCTTACCTTTCAAAAACTTAGTGCTTAAAATAAAGATTAAAGACACAAAATTATAATACTGTAATACTACTGTAATGGATCTGTTATCTGTAATTACATCTACATGAACACCAATTCAGTTAAAGAATGAAACAGGAAACCACTTTCAACTTACATTATGACAAACTGTCAGAGTACAGACAGATATTGAAGCTTTCAGATACAGTGAAGGTCAATAGGATCACCAACAAAAGCACCAAGTGACCTATGGGATAGTTAATGGTTTGACTTTTCACATTGCCACAACATTCAAAGTGAAATCTTAAACCACAGAAATGTTATTGGACTGCTAGACTTTTTACGCTAAGTGGTTCCCCCCACATGCCTTTAGCTGATTCAGCTCACAGGATATACGTGCTTGTTGCCAGCAACATATTGAAGACATCTCTATCTCCAGGGCTGTGGCGCACATGTTTTCCAGATGGTTATTTGACCTACATGCAGTAGTTTGGACTCTATTCTATTTTACAAACAATGACTCGAGGTGATGTCTGTGTAGCCAAGGCCTGATATTGCTTATTACTCTGTGCCATAGACCCCCGTTGAACTGTTAAAAACACGTAAATGTGCAATACTGTTGAACCTTCCTTCATCAGGAAGGCCATCGGTGGTGTAGTTTATTTTAATCACTCCCACATAGGCCATCCTGGTGCTGTAGATATTCTCTTGCACACCAAATGGATGTTAATCCATGGCTGAAAAGAGTCCTTTATAACTTCACTACTAACTATAACACTATTTTCTTCTGTTTGATAAATGCTTGTTTTTTTAACTCCCAGTTTCCTTCAGTTTTATAAATCTTTATGGTTGTAAAACTCATCTTATTCCACTCTGTCTTACAGATTTTCTGCTTGTTCCAATTTGAATCTATGATGTTTACACTGAGTGAATTATTTCGGCGGCAGAGTATGACTTTGTACTGAGTGTCCTGCTCGCTGGACAGAATCCCACTGAGGTTAAAAATGTAACCATTTATATTTGTGTGACTTTTTATTTATTTATTTTTGAGGAACAAATGCCCTTGGGCCTGAGTGCCACAAACAGAGCAGGGAAGCGTGGAAACTATAGAAAGATGGACCTGTGCATTGTTGGTTTTGGTCTTTTCATGAAATTTGTTGATAATAAGAAACACATTGAATAACACTTGTTAGACTTTAATGCCTTTGGATCAAAAAGATGTCCTGTTTGGTTCCACTGTTAATTAAAAATGTAGTAAAATTGAATAGTCATACATACTGTCCTTTACCCCAACTTGTGTAGCCCTGCTTGATCATGACGCAGTGGATCCACATGTCCCAGATGATACAGTGCCTGTCTGATGAAACGGTCAACAACCTCTATCCCCCATCGGCCTTCCCCATTGAAGTCAGACATTTTTTAGCTGATTGGATTGAGAGTCAAAGATGGTATGACAAACACGCGCACACACATCTTAGACATACACATATGCATACATGTACACATAAATCGTTACACAAATCTGCTTGCATATATACAGTGTATGTACGCATATTCTGACAGCATTTTGTCTGTGCTCATACGTGGCCTGGTGTGTCTGTATCTATATGCATGTGTGTACCTGTACATGCACTTGCTGTATATGCGTGTGCATGGATGTGTATGTGTGTGTGTGTGTGTTCACAGGGACGACTTTGTGATGGAAAAGGTGGAGCAGGAGAGCCAGGCTCGGACTCTGTTGGACCAGACCATCAGCATGCTGCAATCGATGGCTCAGCAGAACACCAATGTGGTGGACCGGATGAAGCTGATGCAGATCAGCAGGAACATGGTAGCGGGACTGTCTCACTCAGTAGCTCCCAGAATTGAAAATAGGTTGCTCCTTGGATCCCTGAATGCTTTCAATAAGACAGTGCCTACTGTTTGCAGTTGAGGATGCATTACGTATAATTTCAAGCCAGTGGTCTGAGGAAGACCGCTGAGGAATATGGTGTTTTCAAATGCAGGAAAATATTGTTTTTCATGAGTAATGTAAGTCATTTGTGGGGCTGTGGAGAGATTGAAACGTACAACTTTTGCTTGATGATTAATGTCTCTTAGGAATTCATAATAACCGCACAGACTTCTTTATATATGTTTGTGCCAACCTGCTACAACATAAATGCAGGCAACGTGGCCACTAGAAATGAATTATCTATGACATCAGTTGAATAAACCACTGTATACTAGTATCTCCACCGTTGTATTGTGGACTGTTTTTGAGATTTGATAACGCAAGTGTTTGCTTCACAGGCCGTATTTCAGCAACAGCCTCTGCAGTTTGCAGTGATGGTCAGGGACATCCTCAGGAAGGAGAGGGTTTTGCTCAATGCGGTAAGATCCCTTGTAACAAATACTGTCTGTGTTTAGTTTAACTACAGCCCTCACCCCAATAAGCTGTCTGATAATTTTTTTTAGAGATGGTGAGTGTAGATGATAGGCGATGAAGGATTGCCTTCTGAAACTACAAGTGGATGTCATTACAAATACATAGACACATAGGAAAAACTACTTAGCAAGCAAGCATCATTACTTGTGTTGTATTATTAGTTTTTTCTTCTTTTTTAAAACAATGTAATGCTTAAACTATTCTGGCAGTGTGGGCTTATATTAGGCATTTTAAGGGTATACATTGACTTGGTTTGACTTCTCAGGGAGAAAGACAGTAGATGAGACTAATCTGTTTTCTAGATAATTTAATTTAAATAGTGGAAAAAAGCAATGTGTGAAACGGTTCTGAATACACCAATACTGTAAGTGTGCTGATTGCTATTCCATGTAGGCGCCCGCTCAGATACCCAACCCTCCACAGTACCAACAGTACCCAGGTAGAGAGCCCTCGTTCCCCATCATGCAGGATGTAGACCACCTGGTTCTGAAGGTGCTGGAGGTGCAGGACGTCCGACAAAAGATGCACCAGCTGCAAGAAGATCTCAACTGGGAGAGGCAGAACTATGAGGGTTTACAAGGTGAGAAACACACACAGACACAAGAGGTTGCCTGAACACAGATTCACGTACCTAAAATACAATGAACAGCCACACTGTAATACCAACTAAGCTTATTTTAGTTCCTCTTGTTTCAAGATTAATTCATGGATTTATTTTGATAATCAATTAATAATTTGTCATATTCAGTGGCTCTCTGGGAAACTGTGGTGTGCAGTTTTCACTATTATCTAACATGCTATTCACCAAATGATTCAACGATGAATAAAAAAGTATTCAGCAGATGAATAGTGAAAATAATTTTTAGGGACAGCCCACCACACCTTTTTAAATAATGGCTTCTGATTGGTGTGAATTTAAATGTTGGAAAATTTGTGACATCTAGCTTTAGATGTCAAAAACCCAGTGTGGAGAGCAGGGACGTGCACAGACATTTTGGTGGGCAGGGGCTCAAGTGAAAAAAAGGGCTTTTTTTTTTAAAACAAGACAAATATATTAACAACATTTTTACTTTTCTACAAAATAATCAGTTCACACAGAGACCACGGTCTTCTTTAGTATTCACTAGGCAAACTATGCCACAACGTGCATGTTTTCTGTGCTACTAGTTTCAAATATATATTTATGACATAGTTTCATTAATAATTTGTTTATTTTTCACAAGGCAATAAATCGTTTCAATAACACTTCACATAAATCTTCACACTAAACTTTTAGAGGGAGGGCACATTAAACACATTTGAGGGAGGGCTGTCGGTATATGTAAAGATCTATCAGCGTACAACAAATTAATAGAATGGAGAGTTATTAGATGAGGAGCGTACCATCAAAACTATGAAGTTACTCTTTAAGGCACTTTTTCATGGAGTGGTCAATTTTGAGACTTTGGTCTATTTTGCTTCCATGTCTTCTTTTACTCTAATGGAAATAAAACTTGATTATTACTCAAAACAAGCTAATCTGCATATTGAGAAAGCACGTTTCAGAGGAAAATAGCCAACTCTTGATGTAAGTCATTAACTGGCGAAGTTCTGTGGTGATATGCTTTAGTTATTTTCTTTATCCCATTCACCTGCAGTGACTTGTCAAATGTGTGCAAATTGGCGCATTTTAATTAGTTAACACCTAATTTGCATATCAATGTGGCGATTGTGATGACGTTATTAGACACAAATGTTACTGTGTTCACCTGTAGTGTCTCCATCAGTACATTAGGTTGTATGGCCATGAGATATTGCCTTGGCTAAACTTCAGCTAACTTATCACATTAGCTCATCTCATGAGTCATGCATTAGCAAGACATAGGCTTACCACCACTCACCTCCACACAAGCCAAGAAAAACACTGCTGGGAGAGAATCTGGAGGGGCTGCTGTCTGTCTGTGTGCTGCGCTCTGGTTGGGCGTTGAGATGCGGAGCGAGCGAGAAGGAGAGAGAGAGAGAGAGAGAGAGAGAAAGAGAGAGAGAGAGAGAGAGAGAGAGAGAGAGAGAGAGAAGAGAGAGAGAGAGAGAGAGAGAGAGAGAGAGAGAGAGAGACAGAGAGAGAGAGAGAGAGAGAGACAAGAGAGAGAGGAGAGAGAGAGAGAGAGACGAGAGATAGAGAGAGAGAGAAAGAGAGAGAGAGAGAGAGAGAGAGAGAGAGAGAGAGAGAGAGGAGAGAGAGAGACAGAGAGAGAGAGAGAGAGAGAGGGCATCGGAACTCCAAAGTCTCATCTTACAACCTGATAGCCTATTAAGATTTTTTTCCCCAATAAATATATTTGTTTGACAGGGAATCTGTTGCAAACAGGAATACATTTACTGTATAGTCCTAGTCATTAATTTAAAAGCATCCCAGAAAAAAGGGCACTTTCTCTTCAAGAAGAAAAAGGGCAGATGCTGAAGCCCCTTTTGACATCTATGTGTGCACTTGCC